CCTCTCTCTGCTCTCCATCTTCTCCATCTTGCAACGGAGCCAGCTTTCTACCCAGAGATTCCAGAGGAGTCTTGGGAAGAGGGTTTTCCACACTGGAAACTGGTGGAGAGGGAGCTCCTCATTCTTCTCTCTCTCAGGTCAGCCCTGTTTCTAGGCTCTGTCTGTGGTGCTCCTCTCTGTCACCCTGGCAGCTTGGAGAAGCGGTATCTTGGGGGCCCTAGGACCATGCTTCCTTCATGAGCTCCCTCCATGAGCTCCCCTCATACATAGCCAAGACTAGGAGGAGAGATGGTGAGGACAGGAAAAGGGTGCAGACAGGACCCACCGCTCTGATTTTGCTCCATTGTCCCACCCCTGATTTTCACCCTCTCCCCTTCCACACCGGCATCAGGACCCCAAGCAGGTCATTTGCTCATGCCCAGGCTGATGCTGTGGGATGTCCTAAGCCAGAGTCAGAGGTGGCTGGCAGATGTCAGCGGGAGGTGGGAGAAGCCACGTTATAACCCCCAAGGACATCATTATGGCACGGAAATGCCGTCAGGGCTTGGAGACCAGGCACCCAGGGAGAGCATGATGAAAACATGTTTTGTACAAACACGTGTCCTCTCCTTTCGCTTCCTCCCCTCCTCTCCCTCCTTCCCCCTTAGGCCTGGTCTGTGCCAAGGCTGGTGCCAGCCCTGCCGCTGGTGCTTGCTCAGTTCTATTTCTTGGCCCAGGCTTGTTCTGCTGCTTGCCAGCTTGTTGGCGCTCCTGGTGAGTGAGTTTATCTGTGGAAGGTCCTTACCAGCCTCAATGCTGCCAGATACCCACATAGAATAAGGCTTTGGCTTTCAAACAGGGTTAGCCTACAGAGCTCAGGAATTTCTTTCCTGAACACGCGACATTCGCTCATTCAACACATTTTTGTTAAACATTCAATATGTGCTAAACACTGTGCTAGGCTCTGGGAATACCCAGATACAGTCCCTGTCTTCACAAGCCCACAGTCTGTTAGTGGAGTCAGATGTTACCGAATAACTCACAGAATTGCAATAAGGATAGTCAGTGCAGAGAGGAATAAGGTACTGTGAGAATGAGCACAGGAATATTTTCCCCGGAAATCAGAGAAGCCTTCTAGGAAAAAGGAGTGAAGAGGAAAGAGGGCAGCAGAAGAGAATGTGCAAAGGCCCTGGAATCGGAGTCCTGACTCTCAGCCACCCTGGTCCTCCAGAAGGAAAGAAGGGCCCTCCATTCTTTTTTTTTTCCCCAAGAATTATTTAATTTTATTTATTCATTAATTTGTTTTAATCTGACCAGAGAAAGAGAAAGGGAGAAAGTAAGCCACCAAGTCCAAGACTCAAACCATGGTCAGCCATGGGGGAGTGTCCAGCACCTTAACCACCACACCACCTGCTGGTCCTGAGGCCCTTCGTTCTTGTGTCCCACCTGGATTTCCACTGGCCACAAGGGAGAGATAGCACCTCCTAATGGCCAAAACAGGCCCCAGGGATACTTGGGGACTCTACCCTGGAATTATTCCACCCATTCCTTCATTTCTTGCTCTGGGAAGGGGAACAGAGGCATGGAGAAGAAAGAATCTCGGTTTAGCCTTAAGATCGCACTATAGAAAACAAGGCCCTGCGCTGGTAAACCCTTCAGCCTAAGGGACACTTGCGTTTGCCCAGCAGGAGCGTCTCAGACAGAAAAGCCTCCCAGCCTGCTCTAGCACATCCCCTCCTCCTCTCCGATCCAGCCCTGACCTGTCCCGCTCCCTGCAGCTAGCATGTCTGCCTCCACAGTTGCCTGGAGTAGGAGGTGAGTCCTCCAGGTGTCTGCCAGCTGACCCGTGGGTGGGTGTAGCTGTATGTGTTGCACAGAACCTCCTTCCAGGGGTTAACAGAATTTTCAGTCCTCTGTCCACTAGGGAACTTCCAGTTCTTCCTGCCTAGACACCAAAGCTTCAAGGGTCTTCCTTTCTGAAGAAAAGGAATCGAGGACCCTTTGGATGAGGGAGCAGGCCTGTTCATGGCCGTGCTTTTCCCTGAGAAGCCCAAGAGGTCATTGGGACCAATGGGGTTAAGTTCCAGCCCTGCTCTGACCCACTTTCTTCCCTGTGCCACATCCCCTGGGGCAAGGTGTTGGGTGGGGCCAGCCTGGCACCCCTGCACCCACACCTGGGACTTCCCCTGGATGGAAACTCCCAGAACCCCAGAGTCCTGCCTCCCTTGCCAACTCCCACCAACTGGCTAGGTTCTGTTCAGCTTCAATCAGATCTCTCTGTCTGCCAGCCTTCAGCCAAACTACATCTCTGTCCCAACCCTAAGGGGTCCCAAAGATGTGGGCCCACCCTTTGGGGCCACCTTTGATGTCTGGTTGTCCTTCTGGTGGACTCCTTTGAAGAAAAGATGTGAGACTGGGAAGAGGAAGTTGTTGGGGAGCACCTATTATGTGCCAGGTGTATACCTTGTCTCATCTGATCCACACAACCATGCAGTCCAGGGAATCAGCAATTAACACCCCCATTTCACAGAGCAGGGAGCTGAGCATCAGAAAGTATCATGCGGCTAGTGGGAACCCAGATCTTATCTTGGAAGTCTTGGTATTCCTGAGCTCTCTTCACCAGAGCAGGCTTCCTTCTCTTTCGCGGGCTACCTCTCCATGGGGTAAAAGACTGGGGGAAAATTCCATTCAATCCAATTCGGCAAACATTTGTCGAGTGTCTGTTATGTCCCAGGCACTGATCAGTGCCAGACATAAAGACACAGTAACCGTCCT